CTACTTTTCCCGCAGTCTCAGCGGTTAAAAAAAAGGTAAAGTGCCCGTCTCCAGGTATAGTTCCCGTCGTCAAGGGCGGATGCCAACTATACTAAATAGAACAAGGTTAGTTATCCACTAGCTATCCTCGAAATTATCATGTGATGTACTAAGTCTTATAACAACACTTGCCATATCAATGCATTGCAATGGAAGGATGCAGAGCAAATGGTAATACTGATCTTTAAGGAGCTATCACATGTGTCTTACGCTCATCGTCCTTAGATTAAAGGAAAATGATATGGTAACGGGAGGATTTTCTATAGACAGCAAAATTATTTGCCATGCCAGTGGATTGCACACCTATGCGTCCTTCGTATCGATAGATTCCTTAGACATCTGAAGAAAACTCCCTATTATTCAGGAGTCCCCTTTTTGTGACCTAATGTGTATATGAAGTGTAATACTGCAGGTATTTTCCCCCGAAACCTTCACAGACGGTCGATAATTAGATCTCCACACAAATATTACTCATGCTGCACAGTCTGTGGCCATGTTTTATAAATACAAAATATGATCAAAAGAAATGCCAGAGAAAGATAATTAGCTCAGGCTAAAGCGACCTTCGTTTATAATTTATTTCAGCGTTGTCTTGACGTTGTTAAATCACACGTGCTTGATGACTATTGATTTTTCAACAGTAAAAAACTTTGTTAGCACGGGATGGACATGTTGATATCGAATAACCCTGAATAACACATGAGTTCAGGTAAAAGGAAACGCAGAACATCAGCTTCAATTCAGTGTTCGATACTGTTGTGTCTTCCACAGGTAAGCATATGTGCGCCTACTTATACCTTGGATTTTCAATCTCATTCTACCATTAAATACGGTAATTTATAGTTTATACGTTTGATTATTATCACTATTAATCAAAAGACGAATAAATACATCTGTAATACTAAGCACCGTAAATTGTTGAACATTTCATTATAAACGGTTCATGAAAGTGTGTTACTATGTGTTAACTGTTTAATGGATATGAACGTCTTCAACTTTGCTGGTAGACTGTCATTCCCGGGAATGCCCATAAAAGTGGCCTTTATTCTGACATAGTTGATAGGATACCAGTTTAAGCATTACTTATCTGTTGCAGCCAATAGTTGGAAATCCGTAACAACATAAAGAAGCTATATTCCGCCGTTTTCTATCTACATATGTTTCGGACACGTTTTACATGGAGTTTTCGTTCTTTTGACCTTTATTAACACTCTAGGGTCGTGAATGCACTTAATGGCCATGTGGTACAGTGATGTGGTCACTTAATTTGGCTTATTGAATCCTTGAACAAAATATTCAAATAGGTGCTTCCTTTTTTACGTGTTTCTAGTGAGTAACAATCTAAATCTACTGATCGAAATGTAATGTTATAGAGCGATTTCCAAGTACCCATTAATATGTAACAATGTATGGTGATATCGATAAAGACTGTGTCTGTAGTCTTAGAAATAGAAAAAGTACCTACATAACATTTATGATTCTAATTCACATTATCGTGCATTTTGGACGATGCCATTACCTATCCAAGGAAGTGAAAAATTAAACATTCCAGCTGAAATGTAGAATAGCATTGCTAGAAATAAAGGAAATATGATCTATGAAGTATTAATTTGACGAATACTACATCAGTGAAAATGTTCGCTATATGGTTTTAAAACACAGCTGTGATGTCATCTATTGTTATTTGCGTACTATATCCAACAGAATTCATAGGCATCACCTGTAGCTGTCCAATTAGTTACCTGTAGCTGTCCAATTAGTTACCTGTAGCTGTCCAATAAGTACACAAAAGAATCCACTTATCGGACGGCTACAGGTAACATATTGGACGGCTACAGGTAACATATTGGACGGCTACAGGTAACATATTGGACAGCTACATGTAACATATTGGACAGCTACAGGTAACTTATTGGACAGCTACAGGTAACATATTGGACAGCTACAGGTAACGTATTGGACAGCTTAACATATTGGACAGCTACAGGTAACATATTGGACAGCTACAGGTAACATATTCGACAGCTACAGGTAACATATTCGACAGCTACAGGTAACATATTCGACAGCTACAGGTAACATATTCGACAGCTACAGGTAACATATTGGACAGTATATATCCGGTATTTATATTCCCATAGTCAGATTTCCCATGCACTATATTTTTTCCTTGAAAGAAGGTTTAAATCACGGAACACTCTTTTTTACATGAAACACCATATAGATGAATACATATCCAAACACTTTACTGAGAGACACATTTCTAGCATTAATTGTAATTTCCTTTGAATTCGTAATGTTGGCAATAACACTTTGGAGTTGAGGGCACTTGAAATCTTGCGTTTTTTCCCACAATTTATGTGCACACTATTTCTTTCGTATCATCCCTTGAGATATTCATGTACAATCCCAGATATAAAGCTGTGATATATCTTTGATGAAAATATTTTTGAGGTGGTGTTGAAATCTTGAATTTTCTCACTTTATTTGTGTGGTTTAAATCTTTCATTTCATTCTATCACATATATAATCCCAGAAATATACTGTAATCACTTTCTTCAATAGATCAATCACATTATCTGAATTTAATCCATTTCAATACTGAATGGTGATGCTCAAAATGTACTGCACAGGAACTGTGTTGGGAACGCACCTTCACTGTTGGACGACATTGTTAAAATGAGACTAAATTCTACTCGGGCATATTTCACACAACTGTAGTGCATGCACTTGTTCATTACAAAAGCATGCAAAGTATGCTAAAGGACACCACTGCCCTTTATTGTAACTATAGCGTTCGTGGTGGATTGCACATACTAAACAGAACACAAAGAGGATGTGTGTTTTAAGCAAGATATAAGCCTCAAACTGTATATTATGTAAAATATTGGACAGCAATATTTTACATAATAGACTGTTCGAGGCATATATCCTTCACATATTAGCGTTGAGCATAAATATGAAAACGCAAATAAATAAAAAAAAAAGTTATTTAGATTATGGATGAATAGAATATAAAGAAGCATGACAAACGAGGGATATCTAAACCGGGAACAGTTTAAAGTGCGACAACGCGAACATTCAACTTTTGCATTATATTTATGAGCGTAAACCAAAATCATCACAAAATTTCGGGATCGTTATATATTTTTCTTAATGCTATAAAAAGGCCAAATACTGTACAGTTATCAGAATCGTTCAACACGAAGGTAATGAAAACCTAAAAGAAAACTATGTTAATTAATAATTGTTATTAATAATGGAGTCAACAACTCCCCGAGTTGGTAAATCATGTTCTTTAGATACTTGATGTTCAACAGAAAGGACTTTGGCGTTATTGGTAATATTTGGCCTCATAAAAAGCAAACAATTACACTTGAACATCATATTGTTTAATTCGGGCGTACGTAGATGCCCTACCATAGCAACAAAAGTGCGTTGCTATGCGGAAAAATACATTATCTGGTGTTTTGGACAGTTAGCATGCACAATTGGAAGCCTGCGCATGTGACAAACAATTTCTTTCTACGAATGAACTCTAGTGTGACAATGATTAAGTATGTCTTATATGTATTTGTTGCATGCGGAGGCTTTCAAAATTTTTGCTCAGTTTTTATCTCGCTCTCGCATTTGATTGCTATGTTTATTATGTTGTTTCCTCATATTGGCTTTAAGGATAAATTAGTCCACATTACCGAGGGCGAAAAGGGGAGAGTTAAACTGCGGCGACAATTCCCTGTTATACAATAAAAAATTTTTTATCTTTTTTATTATCAAGATTATTTTTCTAAGTTTCCCCGATATGTCCGATATGCTTGGGGGACACAGAACAAACCAACCCTAATTATGTACATTATAAGGGGTAGGTGAGGCTAGGGGTACGGGGAGTTACAGAGGGAGCGAGTACGTTAGTCGCATCCTACGACTTGCAGTGGGATATTGCAAGTCTACTGTTTCCCCAAACCTGCACAAATCAGAACTGGATAAAGCAAATGTATTATTCAGCATAGCAGATAATTTTCGTTTGGAAATAATTTCCTCTCCATTCAAGATTACCGATAGAAAGGTGTAATAAAATTTTGATAATTTACCTTTGATCTAATATGGGATCTGTCTGCATGCTTGCAAATCAAACGTTTATTAATACGCGACACCTTAACAAGTATATCAATTATTATATTATATTGTAGGATAAAATTAGTTCACATGCATTTTAGTATGAATCTTCATCGATAGGTTGAACATTTCTAATTTTGCAATGGTGAGATCTGTGTGGACAAATTGGAACCAAATGGGAGATTTTGGATGAATACATAACTCATATTTCGAAAGATGTAAAGTTGGTTTATGCAAAAGTGGATTTCTGTTGGATTAAACTTTGTTTTATTCAAATTTTGTTTGACAATACATCGAAACACATGTTTTATAAAACAGAAAAGGAAACAAAAAAAGTATCGTGACACTTATGTAAATTTGGATATCTGTTGACATCAGCTCAAAACCAAACGGTACATAAAAACAACAAAATATAAACTGTCCAAGAAAGCACTGGGATCACGTGTTTGGTTTTAAACCAATCCAGGAAGGTATGACATAATCATTTCTGTTAAATCTACGATGGTCCTTAGGAATCCAATCGTAGTATATTACTGTTCCGTTGTTAAGAAACCCCGACCACCAACCAAACATCCCGACAGAGGTAATCACGTGATCTGTCATAGTTAAAATTGCCATATCTTCATATCTGTCATTGAAACCGGAAAATACCGCTTTTCCATTACCATTCATTATATGATCTTTACACCACTTTCGGTCTTCTTCAATCGGTGACATTGCAACGATGAAAAGAACATTCTGATATTTATTAAGAAAATACTGTTTTGCTCTATCGAAGTATTCTTTCTTAGGAACAACAAGGTGTTCTCTAACGAAATCCCCCCGACGAACATGTATTCCTACAGTTGTAACAGTTTTATTCGGAAACATACTTAGACCAAGTCCTTGTTAAGTCTTTCTAACTTTAGTTCGTATCGATTGCTTGAATACAAATTGTTACTTGATATCAGCAAACGAACGTTTAAAATATTTCCAAGACTGTAAATATCCTTTTATACGGTACACAGTATGTTTCATGGAGAAATTAAACTTTTCATGTATTCTTGGGAATTTTTCCTGTATAAATTGTGCATCGTCTGAACAATTACAAGTGCTTAAGTATTGCACAGGTATATTCTCAAATCCTTCATATAATTCATTCCTTCGAGACACTACAACTGTGAAGTTATGATCGAACGCGATGCCATACGTTGATGCATATATAAACATTATATTCCCGAGCCGTCCTTCAAAGTTTGGACATAGATAACGTTTTTTATCCACAGAAATAGCACTTCCAAATGTTACACACTTATCTGAATAGTTTGTACAAGTTAACGTCGTCCCTGTTCCTCTGTTTGAGATATTACTTTCTCTGTGTAGATAAGGAATCTTTAAGGCCAGGTATTGTGGTTCTGTGACCATAACTACTTTGAAGCTGTATATGATGAAGCTGGATGTAAACAAAAGTGTCACCAATATGACACATCGTAGGTTTGGCAGTGTTAAGTCTGAAACAAAAGAAAAGCATTACAAATTAAATCATATTACAGGATATTTTCTTAATCTACTTATATTTTGGGTTATTTGACGCTTGGAGTAAATGAGCCAAAATTAAACAGAGCAAAATCATGGTTTACTATCTACGCTAGACCTGCCTTTTCTACTACCACCACTACTACTACTACCAATATTACTTAATCGAAGAATATAAACTCCAGACATGTAATGTAATCTTATGTTTCTTGAATAAAATCTACATAATCTATGATAAAAACCATTACCGAGTTAAGGGATATTTTTATACGGATGTAGTTTGATTTTCGCCTTGGTGAAAGAGCCAAAAGTAAACACTATAAAATATTACGATGACGAAAACTTAACATTGCAACATCCAGATTTCGATAAATAGTTTTCCTTCGCAAGCTTATTTTATCTCTGTGAGCTACATTATCCCCACCTTAGCACAACGTACAACCTATAAAACACACTTAAAAAGACATATATGTTCCTGTTCAGCCAGGCGAAACGAAACACTGAAAGGCTGTGTCACGTGGAGTCTAACACATTTCTAAAGTAAAGTAAATGCATGGCTAGATGGTCGAGTCTTGACGCTATGGTAACTCAGGTTGTAAGCAAATATCTGGGTAAACAAAAGCTACATATGGTCGAGTGCCGACACCTGGAGCTCTGCACAATTATGGACCTGTTAGAATGTGACATGTATGTGAACATGGTGCCTCCCACTTCTGCATTTATTTTATTTTTAAATGTTCCTATGACTTGCTTATCTTGAAGGTTATGTAGATGGCGCCAACATTTCTCAAAAACGACTTATGATCATAAAAGTTAGAATTCAGACATTTCTCTGTACATGAGGTCTTTTCGGTTGATGGACCCCGAGTACATAATTTTCTTGTTGAGAAGTCACGTGTAAAAGTATTGAAACCTACAGTCAATCCGTTGTTGTTAATAATCGTTGATTTATAACAAAAACTTATGTAATCGGTGGAATTAAACTGACTGATAAAGGGAGGTGAAGATATAAATATATGCATGGTATACTCCATCAAAATATTGAATTTTAGAACTCAAATATAAAGTTGATTCCAATCAAATGATGAAATAAAGAAAAAAGATTGTTAGCTTCTAAAGTAAACTGATGACAATGCAGTAGGAAGAAGATTTTTTAAGTGGCTCGGTATTATTAAAAGTAATTTGACAGGCCCTGAGCTTACTTATATATATTTAAGCATTACACGAAGAAATTGCGTTCATAGAAATGTGAACGCAGTTTGATCAGCATCATTTTGAAGCTTCTCCTCTCGCCTCAAATAACATGGAAACAACATAAGACAATCGTTAGAAGTAAGTATTTGGGTGACGTTGGACTGTTCCAGAAATATCGTTTGCACTCACGACACAGACACTTCACTATCGAAAATAAAAGGTAATACTTGTATTTAGGTCAATTATAATAACTAACAATTTAGAATATAAATCTTAGGATTGAAGGAGTTCGTTCAATGTTCATGGCAGTATTGTTTTGTTTTTGTTTCCACTTTTTATTTTATGTGTGAATTTGATATGAGTCTGAGAAAATACTAGCCATTTTCTACCGAGTAGAAATTACCTTCAGCTCATTCGGTCGAGAGTAAGACTAGTAAAACAGAGGTCATGGGTTGGACTCCTAGTGGAGACATTGAAAAAATAATGACCTCTGTTACGTTGGCGGCAACGTAGGGACCCAGGAAATATTGACATAAAATCCTCAGTGATACTTTCACCAGAATAGCCATGATCCCTGGACAACTAGTGACGAGTTCGTTCCTGGAGGAGGAGAATTATGTCACCCTGATAAAATACCAGCCGGTACCTGCCGACTCTGCAAGAGAACATTTCTCTAAAACTCATTCGTTTCAGTGTAAGACTAGTAGACCACGCTATTGACGTTTATTGGAAACCATCATGACATGAATAATCAAAGAACATTTGATAAAGCCCGCTATGTAGCAAGAGTAATCCACAGTACAACATACAATCAATATAATGTTGTTGCTAATTTTTAGGAGAATAAACAAGAACATATGTCAATAAAGAAAACCACTCCTTTTACGCCATCATGTTACTGTTGCGAAGGAACATTCATAAACTTTCTTTGTCACGAAGGGGTTCTAATAAACGTCCTTTTGTCCAACCACCTCAATACAAAAATGCAAAGGAATAAAGGGACTGACGAAAATGTGTGGAACAAGTACCTTCAGCTTAACGCTATTATGAAAAAGACACTGTGTAAGCGTTAACAATTTCTTTCGTAATATGGAAATATCGTGTCCTAAGTAGTTTGTGGATGGTACATTTAATCTGCAAATGTGATCCCTGTCACTCTGGTAAAAAAAACTTCTTCCAACTGATTATTTTGGGTTGGGGAATTTCTTTTAACTCAATCGGCGTCAGAAAATACTACAGACAACCGGGTGAGATCCTTAACGGAGATACTAAAATATCAATTACCACGGTCACATACAACTGTACCTGTCGCATTGAGCCGCGAAAAAGACTATAACGACTATGGTTAACGGTTACATAATTTCTTACCTGTTCGCTTACCTGTAGGCACTACTACTACTACTACTACTACTGCCATGCCACTACTACTACTTCTACTACTACTACTACTACTACTACTACTATTACTACTCCTACTACTGCCACTACTACTACTGCTACTACTTCTACTACCACAACCACCACCACCACCCCCACCTCCTCCACCACCACCACCACGACCACCACTACTACGACTACTACTAGTACTACTACTACTACTCATACAACTGTACCTGTCGCATTGACCCGCGAAAAAGACTATAACGACTTTGGTTAACGGTTACATAATTTCTTACCTCTTCGCTTACCTGTAGGCACGACTACTACGACTACTACTACTACGATACTACTACTACTACTCATACAACTGTACCTGTCGCATTGACCCGCGAAAAAGACTATAACGACTATGGGTAACGGTTACATAATTTCTTCCCTGTTCGCTTACCTGTAGGCACTACTACTACTACTCATACAACTGTACCTGTCGCATTGAGCCGCGAAAAAGACTATAACGACTTTGGTTAACGGTTACATATTTTCTTTCCTGTTCGCTTTCCTGTAGGCACTACTACTGCTACTACTTCTACTACCACAACCACCACCACCACCACGACCACCACTACTACGACTACTACTACTACGACTACCACCACCACCACCACCCCCACCCCCCCCCCCACCCCCACCCTATTTGCCATGACAGTGGGTTGCACACCCATGCGTCCTTCGTATTGATAGATTCCTTAGACCACTACTATACTACTACTACCACCACTACCACCACCACCACCCCCACCTCCTCCACCACCACCACCACGACCACCACTACTACGACTACTACTACTACTCCTCTACTACTACTACCACCACTACCACCACCACCACCCCCCCCACCACCACCTCCACTACTACTACTACAGTACTACTACTACTACATGAGAATGACCAAGGATTACTGTATCTGTTACTTAAGCACTACTACTACTACAGTACTACTACTACTACTCATACAACTGTACCTGTCGCATTGACCCGCGAAAAAGACTATAACGTCTATGGTTAACGGTTACATATTTTCTTTCCTGTTCGCTTTCCTGTAGGCACTGCTACTACTACTGCCATGCCTCTACTACTTCTTCTACTACCACCACCACCACCCCCACCCCCCCCCCCCCCACCCCCACCACCACCACCACCCCCACCTCCTCCACCACCACCACCACAACCACAACAACTACTACCACTACTACAACTACTACTACTACTTTTACTACTACTACTATTCCTACTACTACTACTACTACTACTACTACTCTACTACTACTACTACATGTGAATGTCCAAGGATTACTGTATCTGTTACTTAAGCAATGCATGTTTTAGCAAATATTGTTATGGTCCTATAACACAGATTGATCTTGATGACAAACTTAATAAAGCCCGGAAGGGCTTTATGTAAGTTTGTCAGCAATAGAAATGTGTGCTATAGGACCATAAGAAAATACGTAAAATATTCATTATTTATATTTACATTTTGATAAAGTAGTTATGCTTTATTTAGTTATTTCGAACAGTTTTTGAACCGCAAATCAAGTGTTCACAATAATGAAATCGATGACGTCACAATAGAGATTGATGACGTGACAATAGAAAAAAGGTTGTTATAGTCTTATAACAACACTTGCCATATCAATGCATTGCAATGGAAGGATGCAGAGCAAATGTAAATATTGATCTTTAAGGAGCCATCGCATGTGTCTTACGCTCATCGTCCATAGATTAAAGGAAAATTATATGGTGACGGGAGGATTTTCTGAAGACAGCAACATTATTTGCCATGACAGTGGGTTGCACACCCATGCGTCCTTCGTATTGATAGATTCCTTAGACCACCACATCTGAAGAAAACTCCCTTATTATTCAGGAGTCCCCTTTTTTGTGACCTAATGTGTATATTAAGTGTAATACTGCAGGTATATTTCCCCCGAAACCTTCACTGACGGTCGATCATTAGGTCTCCACACAAATATTACTCATGCTGCACAGTCTGTGGCCATGTTTTATAAATATAAAATATGATCAAAAGAAATGCCGGAGAAAGATAATGAGCTCAGGCTAAAGCGACCTTCGTTTATAATTTATTTCAGCGTTGTCTTGACGTTGTTAAATCTCACGTACTTGATGACTTATTGATTTTTTCAACAGTAAAACCTTTGTTAGCACGGGATGGACATGTTGATATCGAATAACCCTGAATAACACATGAGTTCAGGTAAATGGAAACGCAGAACATCAGCTTCAATTTAGTGTTCGATACTGTTGTGTCTTCCACAGGTAAGCATATGTGCGCCTACTTATACCTTGGTTTTCAATCTCATTCTACCATTAAATACGGTAATAGTTTATACGTTTGATGAAAATCACTATTAATCAAAAGACGAATAAATACATCTGTAATACTAAGCACCGTAAATTGTTGAACATTTCATTATAAACGGTTCATAAAAGTGTGTTACTATGTGTTAACTGTTTAATGGATATGAACGTCTTCAACTTTGCTGGTAGACTGTCATTCCCGGGAATGCCCATAAAAGTGGCCTTTATTCTGACATAGTTGATAGGATACCAGTTTAAGCATTACTTATCTGTTGCAGCCAATAGTTGGAAATCCGTAACAACATAAAGAAGCTATATGTCCCCCGTTTTCTATCTACATATGTTTCGGACACGTTTTACATGGAGTTTTCGTTCTTTTGACCATTATTAACACTCTAGGGTCGTGAATGCACTTAATGGCCATGTGGTACAGTGATGTGGTCACTTAATTTGGCTTATTGAATCCTTGAACAAAATATTCAAATAGGTGCTTCCTTTTTTACGTGTTTCTAGTGAGTAACAATCTAAATCTACTGATCGAAATGTAATGTTATAGAGCGATTTCCAAGTACCCATTAATATGTAACAATGTATGGTGATATCGATAAAGACTGTGTCTGTAGTCTTAGAAATAGAAAAAGTACCTACATAACATTTATGATTCTAATTCACATTATCGTGCATTTTGGACGATGCCATTACCTATCCAAGGAAGTGAAAAATTAAACATTCCAGCTGAAATGTAGAATAGCATTGCTAGAAATAAAGGAAATATGATCTATGAAGTATTAATTTGACGAATACTACATCAGTGAAAATGTTCGCTATATGGTTTTAAAACACAGCTGTGATGTCATCTATTGTTATTTGCGTACTATATCCAACAGAATTCATAGGCATCACCTGTAGCTGTCCAATTAGTTACCTGTAGCTGTCCAATTAGTTACCTGTAGCTGTCCAATAAGTACACAAAAGAATCCACTTATCGGACGGCTACAGGTAACATATTGGACGGCTACAGGTAACATATTGGACGGCTACAGGTAACATATTGGACAGCTACATGTAACATATTGGACAGCTACAGGTAACTTATTGGACAGCTACAGGTAACATATTGGACAGCTACAGGTAACGTATTGGACAGCTTAACATATTGGACAGCTACAGGTAACATATTGGACAGCTACAGGTAACATATTCGACAGCTACAGGTAACATATTCGACAGCTACAGGTAACATATTCGACAGCTACAGGTAACATATTCGACAGCTACAGGTAACATATTGGACAGTATATATCCGGTATTTATATTCCCATAGTCAGATTTCCCATGCACTATATTTTTTCCTTGAAAGAAGGTTTAAATCACGGAACACTCTTTTTTACATGAAACACCATATAGATGAATACATATCCAAACACTTTACTGAGAGACACATTTCTAGCATTAATTGTAATTTCCTTTGAATTCGTAATGTTGGCAATAACACTTTGGAGTTGAGGGCACTTGAAATCTTGCGTTTTTTCCCACAATTTATGTGCACACTATTTCTTTCGTATCATCCCTTGAGATATTCATGTACAATCCCAGATATAAAGCTGTGATATATCTTTGATGAAAATATTTTTGAGGTGGTGTTGAAATCTTGAATTTTCTCACTTTATTTGTGTGGTTTAAATCTTTCATTTCATTCTATCACATATATAATCCCAGAAATATACTGTAATCACTTTCTTCAATAGATCAATCACATTATCTGAATTTAATCCATTTCAATACTGAATGGTGATGCTCAAAATGTACTGCACAGGAACTGTGTTGGGAACGCACCTTCACTGTTGGACGACATTGTTAAAATGAGACTAAATTCTACTCGGGCATATTTCACACAACTGTAGTGCATGCACTTGTACAAAAACATGCAAAGTATGCTAAAGGACACCACTGCCCTTTATTGTAACAATAGCGTTCGTGGTTGATTGCACATACTGAACAGAACGCAAAGAGGATGTGTGTTTTAAGCAAGATATAAGCCTCAAACTGTATATTATGTAAAATATTGGACAGCAATATTTTACATAATAGACAGTTCGAGGCTTATATCCTTCACATATTAGCGTTGAGCATAAATATCAAAACGCAAATAAATAAAAAAAAAAGTTATTTAGATTATGGATGAATAGAATATAAAGAAGCATGACAAACGAGGGATATCTAAACCGGGAACAGTTTAAAGTGCGACAACGCGAACATTCAACTTTTGCATTATATTTATGAGCGTAAACCAAAATCATCACAAAATTTCGGGATCGTTATATATTTTTCTTAATGCTATAAAAAGGCCAAATACTGTACAGTTATCAGAATCGTTCAACACGAAGGTAATGAAAACCTAAAAGAAAACTATGTTAATTAATAATTGTTATTAATAAAGGAGTCAACAACTACCCGAGTTGGTAAATCATGTTCTTTAGATACTTGATGTTCAACAGAAAGGACTTTGGCGTTATTGGTAATATTTGGCCTCATAAAAAGCAAACAATTACACTTGAACATCATATTGTTTAATTCGGGCGTACGTAGATGCCCTACCATAGCAACAAAAGTGCGTTGCTATGCGGAAAAATACATTATCTGGTGTTTTGGACAGTTAGCATGCACAATTGGAAGCCTGCGCATGTGACAAACAATTTCTTTCTACGAATGAACTCTAGTGTGACAATGATTAAGTATGTCTTATATGTATTTGTTGCATGCTGAGGCTTTCAAAATTGAAGAGTTTTTAGTTAATTCTTCATAATGGCCACTTTCAACCAAATCGCGCATAACCTACGATATTCACGCATTTTATTATAAAAATGTGGGTTTATGTCTCTCTTCGAGTAATGTCATATCCCTTAAACCAGTTGTCGGATGAATATGAAATTGCATTTTGCGTACTTCATTTTTTCATGATTACAAATAAAATCCCCGATGAGGCCGATAATGACCCGTAACGCACCTAGTCATTTGCTGGTTTGTTCCCAGCTTTAGAAGGTACCAAAATAATCAACAGAATGGAATGCTGTATACTAGGAAACGTTCGAACAATCAAACGTTCGCCCAATCAAACTTTCGCCCAATCAAATTTCCCCTTACAGTAGTACATTCCATTTTTGTTCAGTTTTTATCTCGCTCTCGCATTTGATTGCTATGTTTATTATGTTGTTTCCTCATATTGGTTTTAAGGATAAATTAGTCCACATTACCGAGGGCGAAAAGGGGAGAGTTAAACTGCGGCGACAATTCCCTGTTATACAATAAAAAAATATTATCTTTTTTATTATCAAGATTTTTTTTCTAGGTTTCCCCGATATGTCCGATATGCTTGGGGGACACAGAACAAACCAACCCTAATTATGTACATTATAAGGGGTAGGTGAGGCTAGGGGTACGGGGAGTTACAGAGGGAGCGAGTACGTTAGTCGCATTCTACGACTTGCAGTGGGATATTGCAAGTCTACTGTTTCCCCAAACCTGCACAAATCAGAACTGGATAAAGCAAATGTATTATTCAGCATAGCAGATACTTTTCGTTTGGAAATAATTTCCTCTCCATTCAAGATTACCGATAGAAAGGTGTAATAAAATTTTGATAATTTACCTTTGATCTAATATGGGATCTGTCTGCATGCTTGCAAATCAAACGTTTATTAATACGCGACACCTTAACAAGTATATCAATTATTATATTATATTGTAGGATAAAATTTGTTCACATGCATTTTAGTATGAGTCTTCATTGATAGGTTGAACATTTCTAATTTTGCAATGGTGAGATCTGTGTGGACAAATTGGAACCAAATGGGAGATTTTGGATGAATACATAACTCATATTTCGAAAGATGTAAAGTTGGTTTATGCAAAAGTGGATTTCTGTTGGATTAAACTTTGTTTTATTCAAATTTTGTTTGACAATACATCGAACTACATGTTTTATAAAACAGAAAAGGAAACAAAAAAAAGTATCGTGACACTTATGTAAATCTGGATATCTGTTGACATCAGCTCAAAACCAAACGGTACATAAAAACAACAAAATATAAACTGTCCAAGAAAGCACTGGGATCACGTGTTTGGTTTTAAACCAATCCAGGAAGGTATGACATAATCATTTCTGTTAAATCTACGATGGTCCTTAGGAATCCAATCGTAGTATATTACTGTTCCGTTGTTAAGAAACCCCGACCACCAACCAAACGTCCCGACAGAGGTAATCACGTGATCTGTCATAGTCAAAATTGCCATATCTTCATATCTGTCATTGAATCCGGAAAATACCGCTTTTCCATTACCATTCATTATATGATCTTTACACCACTTTCGGTCTTCTTCAATCGGTGACGTTGCAACGATGAAAAGAACATTTTGATATTTATTAAGAAAATACTGTTTTGCTCTATCGAAGTATTCTTTCTTAGGGACAACAAGGTGTTCTCTAACGAAATCCCCCCGACGAACATGTATTCCTACAGTTGTAACAGTTTTATTCGGAAACATACTTAGAGCAAGTCCTTGTAAAGTCTTTCTAACTTTAGTTCGTATCGATTGCTTGAATACAAATTGTTGCTTGATATCAGCAAAAGAACGTTTAAAATATTTCCAAGACTGTAAAAATCCTTTTATACGGTACACAGTATGTTTTATGGAGAAATTAAACTTTTCATGTATTCTTGGGAATTTTTCCTGTATAAATTGTGCATCGTCTGAACAATTACAAGTGCTTAAGTATTGCACAGGTATATTCTCAAATCCTTCATATAATTCATTCCTTCGAGACACTACAACTGTGAAGTTATGATCGAACGCGATGCCATACGTTGATGCATATATAAACATTATATTCCCGAGCCGTCCTTCAAAGTTTGGACATAGATAACGTTTTTTATCCACAGAAATAGCACTTCCAAATGTTACACACTTATCTGAATAGTTTGTACAAGTTAACGTCGTCCCTGTTCCTCTGTTTGAGATATTACTTTCTCTGTGTAGATAAGGAATCTTTAAGGCCAGGTATTGTGGTTCTGTGACCATAACTACTTTGAAGCTGTATATGATGAAGCTGGATGTAAACAAAAGTGTCACCAATATGACACATCGTAGGTTTGGCAGTGTTAAGTCTGAAACAAAAGAAAAGCATTACAAATTAAATCATATTACAGGATATTTTCTTAATCTACTTATATTTTGGGTTATTTGACGCTTGGAGTAAATGAGCCAAAATTAAACAGAGCAAAATCATGGTTTACTATCTACGCTAGACCTGCCTTTTCTACTACCACCACTACTACTACCAATATTACTTAATCGAAGAATATAAACTCCAGACATGTAATGTAATCTTATGTTTCTTGAATAAAATCTACATAATCTATGTTAAAAAACATTACCTAATTAAGGGATATCTTTATACGCATGTAGTTTGATTTTCGCCTGGGTGAAAGAGCCAAAAGTAAACACTATAAAATATCACGATGACGAAAACTTATCATTGCAACATCCAGATTTTATTTTACCTCTGTGAGCTACATTATCACCACCTTAGCACAACGTACAACCTATAAAACACACTTAAAAAGACATATATGTTCCTGTTCAGCCAGGTGAAACGACATACTGAAAGGCTGTGTCACTTGGAGTCTAAAAACAGCTAATAATCGTAGGTTCATAACAAAATTTATGTAATGGGTGGAATTACACTGACTGATACTGTTGAAACCGAAAACCTCATTCTTCAAAAAAAGGTGTATAAGGCTCACTCACTGATTTAGGCATAAAAAGACATTTACTTTGTTTTGTTTCCCCTTTTTATCTTATGTGTGCATTTGATATAACGTTTCTGTAATGTTGCACTATTTAACAAGAAAAAACATTATTTGACTCACATGAATCTAATTTCTAATCTGTAATCTTTAATCATATGCATCAACCCTTCACAGTGCAGTCTGGAGAAACCATGTACACGCCAGCCATAGAAAATACTAGCCATTTTCTACCGACTCCTGGAAAACTAGTGACGAGTTCTTTCCTAGAGGAAGAGAATTATGTTACACTGATAAAATAACATCCGGTTCCTGCCGACTCTGCAAGAGATCATTTCTCTATAACTCATTCGGTTGAGTGTAAGACTAGTAGACCAAAGCTCTTGACGTTTATTGGAAACCATCTTGACTTGACACTAATAGGGAAGCCAGCAACTCTAAAACATTATAAATCCTGCTCTTTAGTTACTTGATGTTCAGCTAGTTTGATCCAGGCTTTAGACGGTACAAAACTATTCGTCAATAAATTTTACGGATCTATTCATTTTGTATTTACAATTTATCAAACCGAGTTTTCAGGTTTTGTTATGTAAACATTTTTTTATCGCGAGCAGGTTGATACAATCAAGAGGCCATTGCAGGTGGACTCGACATTTAATGCACGTGCGAGGGATAGGAAAAGTATTCGAAGGGAAACCTTGAAAACATTATATGATAAACGGTTTTATCATCTATACACTACCGCCACCTTATGTATTTTTCCATTAATAGAAAGATATTTTTAAACAAAAATATCGTCATTGGCTTCTACATATGCACATTTACACTTAAAATGTTATAGTTATCTTCACAATATTATTTCATCATTTTGTAATGTTTCGTTTATGACGGATAATTTTCTTCCGCGGAACACTGTTGTTTGATACTTTTTCTGGTTTAAGACATTACCTGGCACGAGGGGGCATTCTTTTTTGAGAAAATACGTTCCCAAATAGGAAAATCGATTATCAGATGTTCCCCCGAACCTTCATAAATCAGATCTGGATAGAAGAAAACATGTTTTATTTAGCATAGCGGATAATTTCTATGGTTGGAAATACTTACCTCCCCAGTGAAAATATCCGATACTACATTTATGATATCAGATCTCGATAACTGACCTTTGCTCTCTCAATGTATGTGTCTACTTGCTTAATTAGTATTCAACTGTTAATTAAGATACAGCACCTTTACAAGTATATCAATTATGAGATACAATTTTCCAATTAGTTATTTCGCGTGATTTTAAGACTTACTCTTCGCCGTGTAGGTAGAAAATTGCAAAGGTGAGGAGCGTGCGGTAGAAATGGAAAAGCTTTTTGTGACTAAATGTGTGATTCGGATAAATACATACATTGTTACTCATATATCGAAATATTTAAGTTTTGTTTATGCAGAGCGGGTTTCTTTTGTCAGAACCTTAAATCTTGGCGACATCAAAAGGTACATACAAAAATGTAAAGAAAGCACTAGGAGTAGGTGTTTTGTTTTATACCTATCCAAGAAGGTAAGACATAATCATTCCTGTTCAATGTAGGATAGTCCTTAGTAATCAATTCAAAGCATATTACTGTTCCTTTGTTAAGAAACCCCGACCTATGGCAAGCCAAGTTGTCAATTATTCATGGAGCAATGTTGATCCAGTAAAATTATATAAGATATCTCATATATTATATAAGATATCTTATAAATTATATAAGATATCATATAACCAAATAAGATATCTTATAAACATATAAGATATCTTATAAAATATCTTATAAACATATAAGATATCTTATAAACATATAAGATATCTTATTTTAAGTTTATGAGATATCTTATATCTTTTATAAGATATCTTATATACTTTATAAGATATCTTGTAAAAGATATAAGATATCTTATAAAAGATATAAGATATCTCATAAACCTTTCTTTATAAGATATCTTATATCTTTTATGAGATATATTATATAATATATAAGATATCTTATATATTATATATCTCATATCTCTCATATCTCTCGCGAGACCGACAAAGAAGAAATGTTTGAAAATGACTGCTCCCGTTGTAAGATCACGAGTCCGATGAACGGGAGCTGTGTAAAACTAGCTTTGCGCCCGTACAGCTTCGTATTTTTCAACAGGAAGTATAACTAACACCAATATAAAATTTTAGTTGATATATTTAAATATTAATTATTATATTTACGCGTAAATTGTAAAAGATTAGTGTTAGGAAGCACACATTAATATATTCTAAAATGGCTGGGATAATCCAGAGTTATAAACTTTTCCGAAAGAAACTCGAGTGTTCCAAAGAGCAATTGAGAACTTAGAAAATGTCTGTGAAGTTGCTACATGTTTAATTATTCAAACGACAATTTAGTTTCGTCGGCCTAAAAGATAAAGGTTCAGATATAGTTCTTATTAGTGAGAATCACTGTCATTTATTAATCTGTTGTACGTCATTTTCAACCAGAATGAGACAAATGAAAGTAGTTTGCTGAGGATTTATTTAGTGACGGTGTTATGATGCCAAACTCGATAAGAGCGCAGAAATATTGTCATAATCAGTCGCCACATACTCAAATATAAAGTGAGATTCTAAAATTCATCTTGATTTATGTTATTTTTCGTACACAGCCTCGTTGAAGAATTCTAGTTTGGTTTGATTTGGGGAGGGGGAGGGGTTTGGTATTAATTAGGTCTTGTTTTATAGTTGATGTCAGAAAGCTGAGTTAGTTGATTCAACATTTACCATTCACATCACTTGTCTTCTTTGTTGTAAGCAAAATTTATTGATTTCTGCTGTGTTATAAATTCATGGTTTAAAGTTTGTGTTCATGTATTTTGTGAGTTAACAGGTAAAGGACATGTACAACTGTTCAGTGTTCTTCTAAACCAATCAAATTAGTTAACCTACCCTCATTGAGTCGCCCACCACAAGTAGCTTGTTTAGATTTTGTCCCATTTTTCAAAGACTGTCCTATATGTTAATTTAGACCTGGTGGTAAAGAATCTTGCAATCTACCAGATATAATCCAATCTAAAATACACAAAGAATATTTATAATGAAATACAATTTATTATACCCAGGACATTAACTGCTTATTTTTACCTTTGATCTAACTTGACCTCTCTAGGTTAATTTTAAGTCCAAGAAAACATTCATAATAAAATACATTTTTACAGGAATATACTATATATGTGTACAATTATCACTATAGCAAGGTTATTTTATTATATTAAATTAATCTCATCATCTTTATTTATGAAAAGTGACTGGCACTAGATCATAAACTTAGGGAACTTAGATATAATTTCAAAAATGAAGAATGTCTTGTATTTCAGTTCCTTTTCCAAATGAATTTTATCACACAGGGGAGCATATGGTACAAATAGGACTTTTCCCCCAAAGTTTGAAGCAGATTCCAAGAGAAATATTCAGTTTATTGATACATGTGCTTAACATTTGGTTCAAGACTCAAAAATTTGTGGATAAGTATTGTATAACTCTATTTAATAATAACATCTAGGATAGATATTTCAGCCCAAAAAACAATATATATTTTTGATACAGAACAAATTCTGTTTTTTTTTTTTAAATATATAGCACCGACACTCAATCAATATTGATATGAAATGTTTGAAATTTGAATATTTCTATAGTGCATAATTCCATAACCTTAAGTCTATAGGGACATGTCAAATACTATATGTAACCCACATCTAATTATAGGTAAGTAGTGGGATTATTAGTGGAAGCCAAAATCAACACATCCAACTAATACAGTACTTTAAAACAAGAGCCCCATTGGCCTAACAGGTCACCTGAGTTGTAATGCAAATGTTATTTGTTGTTGTGATATGTTAAAAATAAAAATTACATATATATGTATGTATAGCAGGGAATTTTGCCCCTCCCCAGGGAGGAATTGGTACCCAAGGGGTTGTGAAATTCACATTTTGATTAAGCACATCAGGATATTTCCATCCATGAGAAGGTTTTCAAAATATCTGGATCTGGAAGTAGACAATTATTGTTTGAGCTATTTTGGCCCCTTTTGGCTCCGCCCCTGAGGCCCTTAGCGTCCACATGATCACAACTCCAACCAAGTATGAATTTGTTACTACTGAAAGTGGATAAAACAGATCTTGAAAAGGCTTATTTCCATAAACTATAGCAAAATGTATCCCCTCCCAAAGGTATACACCATCTAAACATCAGGTATATACCTTCTATACATCATGTATACATCTTCTATAGGTCAGGTATACACCTTCCATGCATAAGGTATATATACCTTCTATACATCAGGTACATGTATACACCTCCTATAGGTCAGGGATATATACACCTTTCATGCATCAGGTATATATATATACCTTCTATACATCAGATTACACCTATACATCAAGTACATCTTGTATGCATGCACATATACATGAGGTATATGTAAGGTCCATATTCTCTGTAGGTAAGGTACCTCATCTTTATTATAGTTGTCCGATTGGTTCATATTTATTTCATGCACAGGAAATATAACATCATATTGTTTGCTTGTGGTGGTGTTTCCCAATTATGTTCCCTTATTGTGGCCTCTCTAGAACAAGAAGCACAGGCACATTATTAATAGCTCACCTGGAATAATATTTTTCATTAAAAGTTGTTGATTACCTCTTACCATACAGGAAATATCAGCTTGGGGATCTCAACAATTTCCATGTTATGACTGAAGGAGTAAGTCCTCAGGGGGGGGGTGGGCTCCATTAAGGACTATTTTGGTATCATGAGTGTTTTTCCTCTGCATGCCCAGCAGCATATGGATGGGATCTTTACTGAGTTCATGTAAAATTTGGGGACTATAAGCCCCTTGTGACAGGACAGGACCCTGGAGCCAATCATGTGGGCATGGATGTATTCAGATGGTTACTTGGTGGGGGATCTTAATTATCTTTACACCCAAACTTCCTCTATTGGCACCCAAATGCTCTGGCCCAGTGACTGCTTTGCCTCTGTTTTTTTCAGACCTGAGATATGCTACAATTACAAGTTTTTGAAGATGAAATGTCTTATTTTCCTCTTTACCGGAAAACATACCATGTATATACTTTGTATCATGTACATTGTATCTTCTGGAAAATGAGTCAATACACTATATATAATAGAGATGATAAATACAGGTACCTTATGCAACGAGGCTGTATTATAGAGGATACCCTTACTAAATAAATCATGACTCTTTATGAGGTAAATCCATAAACAAATTTCAGCAAGTAGATGATATACATATATATTTGAAAACTGTCTCGGGATATATTTCATATACATAACTAATTATAGAAACTGTATACAAATTATGTAAAGATAGTATTATGTGTACATAATATATATTTTATATATATATATAAAACAAGGCAAAGTATTACGTGTAAGGCAATCCATAGTCCCCCAAAGGTAATGATTTATGTCAGAATGTATTTACTGTTAGGAAAGTATCCTGATACATACTTGCACTCCTCCATCCCAAGATGTCCTTGTACACCAAATCTGGTTACTCCAGGTGAAAAAGTATAGAAGTACTGGGTGCAAACCTATAATCCTCCCGGGAACCAATGGGAGACTAAAAAGGTAATAGTGTATATAGAATATATGAAAGTGGTAAACTTTTTATATACTCTGTATACAACTTTGTACACCACTTGCACACCACTTTTTCTTTACTATGTACAGACATTTAACATTCTCTATATACTCTGTTTGTCACTTATTTATACTCTGAATACAACTCTCTGTATAATATTTATACCACTCTCTATGCTCTGTATACCATTCATAATATACCATGTAGGCCATTTTTTGTATACCCTGTATATCGCTCTTTATATACTATGTTACAAGACCAATCCTTATATACCCTGTATATCACTGTTTATAAGCTGTATACCACTCCTTATATACTGTGTATACAACTCCTTATATTCTGTGTGAACCGCTCTATATGCTGTGTTTACTGCTTCTTACATACCCTGTATACCACTCTATGTATACCATGCATATCACTCTTTATATACTCTGTATACCACCCTGTGTACTCTGTAAACCCCTTTTTATGTACCCTGTATACCACTCTCTATATACCATTCTTTATGTACTCTGTAAAACACTTCTTATATACCCTGTTTACTAGTTTGTATATTCTGTATACAAATCATTTTATAACCTTCTCAATATTTCTTTATAAAGATATCTTTGTTGTGTTTTATAATAAACAAGAGGCACTGAGTTAGGACAAGTCTCTTATAACAAAAGTGTATCCAAATTTTGATGCTCAGCAATATATAGATATACTACTACAGCCAGGTATAACCCATGTAGTTACTACTACAGACAGGTATTACACATGTAGTTACTACTACAGACAGGTATTACACATGTATATATTATCACAGATAGGTATTACACATGTATATATTATCACAGATAGGCATTACACATGTAATTTCTACTACAGCCAGGTATTACACATGTAATTACTACTACAGACAGGTATTACACATGTATATATTATCACAGATAGGTATTACACATGTAATTACTACTACAGACAGGTACTACACATGTAATTACTACTACAGACAGGTACTACACATGTAATTACTACTACAGCCAGGTATTACACATGTAGTTACTACTACAGACAGGTATTACACATGTATATATTATCACAGATAGGTATTACACATGTATATATTATCACAGATAGGCATTACACATGTATTTACTACTTCAGCCAGGTATAACACATGTAGTTACTACTACAGCCAGGTATTACACATGTAATTACTACAACAGACAGGTATTACACATGTATATATTATCACAGATAGGTATTACACATGTA